TGCCTCGGCCGGGCTGTGCCACGTGGCCGCTGCTGCCCACGGTGCTGCTTTGCACGGGCTGCCCCGAGTAAAGATCAGGAGGCTCGGCTGGAGCCAACCCCAGGGAGTCCCTCTGCCAGGACGGCTCTGGCCTCTCCTGCCCATCACCCTCCCTCTGTGCCAGACACCTCGGTGCAGAGCATGAACCCCTGGGAATCACCATTGCTCTCCTCCATGCCACACAACCCAGTGCAGAGCATGACCCCCCCCCAGTCAGCTGGGAACTGTGTTAGCTCATGGGCTGGGGAGGTAAAAGACCCGACAGCCCCATATGTTACTGCTCATTTTTGTCTGGACACTCTGAAACATCTCTGTGCTGACGGGAAGTCTCTTTTAGGGAGAAGCAAGGTGGGAAGGTGATTTCCTGAAGGCAGGAATGTTTTTGGGAGCAGCTGATTTTTTTCTTTAGCAGATTAATAATAAAATATATTGATCTATATTTTTATTGATGAAATATATTGATATTGATTGACATCTTTGATTCTCCTTCTGTTTTTCAGAAGCCCTCTACGAAGTTGCATTGTGAGTACAATTCATCTGTGATGCTGAGAAGATTTTGAGGGCTTCAGTACTGGTATCTGTTTCAGGAAAACCTCTTTTCTCACTGAACAATCAAAGATTTCTTTGACTTTCTGGAGAGGAGGATCTGAATACCTTGACAGTGCATTTGATTAGCAGCATGAGGACATTAACATTTCAATGCGGGAGATACTAAGAGAGGGTCTCTTCTTTAATACGTTAGAATGAAAGGAAGATATTTTGGGTCCTTCACTCTGTTCTTGCAAGTGCCATGGGAAAACTCTATTAAATTTCCAACATTATTTCACGAAGCAGAGAACACAAATTCTCATCTCTTCCCTCAAGATAAGTTCCTCCTGTACATGCCTTTCTCTTAAGAAACATACCCCAGCAGTTATCCAAATATGTTATTTTGTGCAGTTCCTGTTTGCTTCTACCTATAAGAACATATTTCCTGCCCCATCTTAATCTTAGCCCTTAATCCCCTAATCCTACTTTTCTATTTATAGATATACCTTACCCCCACAGTGGCCCCACCAATTGCCATTTTAGCAATTATTAATAGTAGTTATTTTGCAAAGGCTGGACTATGTGGTGCTAGTCCAGCCTTTGGAAAGTCTGTTGAATGCCGGTATGATAATGCCACCAGTGATTGTAGTACCTATGTTAATTGTTTATTTCCTCTCTTTGAGTGTGTGTACAATTCTTTTAATATTGCTTTCTAGTGTCTTTCAGAGCTGCTCAGATTCTTAGTAGATTAGTGTAAGGTTTGCTATTCTCTGGTAAAGGTGTAGATCAAATGATTTCTGATTTATTCCTCCTCCTGATTAATCTCTCTCTATTTTTTCAGCCATAGCACCGTAGATGTCATGAGAACAGAGACTGGTTTGGAAGTCCCTGCTAAGGGCCTACAAGAAGAGGAAAATTCTAGGACTGAGGCATCGTATGAAATTCTCACCATGAAAGACAATGACTACAGCAACATATGTACTGGGAAAAACACTGAGTGTGATACTCTTCTGAAGGCAATGGAATCAGAATACGAAGTAGAAAACTTTTAGTAGAATACCTGCATTTCCACATGAGCAGCTCTGCAGAAGATGGAGCTGCACATCTTGAGTGGTGAATTTTACCAAAGGAAACTATTTTTCCTATCTGCTTTCTCCACTGATAAATATACCAGTCTCATTGCTTTTGTTTAACCTGGGGGAACTGCATAACCTTGGGCTTTGGTGAATGAGATCCTGCCCGTTGGTGCAGAAACCCTTAGCCAAGTGGGTATCTACCTTCATTTATGTAGCTATAAATTTAAGAGCAGCCTGAAGGGCAAAGGTGAGGAAGAAGGGACCTAGAGGAGTAGAAACACAAAAGCCTTTAGCCTGCAGGTCTAGGTGTAGCTGGTTGCAACACTAGCCAAAAATACCAGCAGGGTATATTCTCAAGCATATGTTCCCCTCTTAGGACATCACAGACTGCGAGGAACCAGGAATTGTGCTGGGAGTGGAATATTCCCTGACTTTTACAGTTCAACACATACTGGTTGTACAGCTTGTTTGCCCTTAAGTCTTTTTCATTTGAGGATGGTAAAGGGACCATGGAGGGGGGGTTGATGTCCCAGGAATGTCATTCTTCCGA